TTAAAATATGCTTAAATTTTCTAAATTTCAGTACAAAAGTTCTCACCAGAATACACATGACATGGGAACAGAGGAAGACAATGGGGCAGATGAGGCAGGGAAAGGGAAGATGGAGATAAATGAGGGAGGAGACAAATGAGAGCAAAGACTGTATCACAGTGTCATAATGTAATCCATCACTTCACATGCCAACAGAAATATTATTTTTGTTTCTACTCATTCTTTGATATATTTATACAGGTACACATTGTATATTGATCATATCCGCCACTGACTCCACACATCAACTCTTCCGAGGACACCTTCCTCCTAACTTCATGTCCTTCTGTTACTTTTTTAAGTTTAAAAAAAAAATTATACATGAGTATTGTATTTATATAATTTCACCCCTTCCTCTCACCCCTCCAACTCTGACCTCTTCTATAATGATATGTGTACATATATGTATATGTGTACATATATGTATATGTGTGCATGTATAAAACCTACTGAGTCCATTTAGTGTTGCTCATATGTACATGTGTTTAAGGCTGACCACTTAGGATTGGATAGCCTATTGGAGACTTCTTCCTGGAAAAAAACTAATTCTCCCTCTCTCAACCATTGATTGTCTTTAGCTCTTCATTTAGAGGTGAGGTCCTAGAAAATTTCTCACATCCACATTGGCAAATGATTGGTGCTGTCAATATAGAGATCTTGTTTAGGCAACTGCATTATTGAGACGCCTTGGATACAACATCCATATCTATCAACAAATGTCCTGGTCTTCTGACTCTTATGCTATTCCACCCACTCTTCCATGCTGTTCCCTGCTAAATGTAAGTGTTGCATTGTGGATGCTTCAGTTCAGACCAAGAAACCAACAATCAGTCACTTACTCTCAGAATTTTAGTCAGTTGTGGGTCTGTGTAATAATTTCCATCTGCTTCAAAAAGAAGCTTCTTCGATGAAGGTTGAGAGCTGCACTTGTCTGTGGGTATAAGTATTTAGAATATAGTTAGCTCGAATTGGCAGTAGTAGGCTCTGCTCCAGTCAAGGACCTCTAATGCCATGGGGATTTGGCAAGGTTTACAGTACCAAGCGTGAATATCTTTCTATTGAGTGGGCATTAAGTCAAATTAGACAACTGTTGGTTACCCTCAGGATAAAAATGCCACTACTGTACCACTGAAGTTTTCTTGCCAGGCTGTCATTGTTGCAATAGATAGGCTTCCCGGCTGGGTAGAGACATTGATTGCTTTTCTCCCTTGACAGCTTGCATAGAACACTCAAATATGAGAGTTGTTCCCCAAGAAGGATGCTTCAAAGTCGGTTCCAGCATGATTTCTACAATTACTGTGTCTGAAATATGTGGTATTTTCAACAATAGAGTCTTACCTTCAAGTTTGAGAAAGATACCAAGGGCAACAACAATAGCCTACATAGTTTTGGTAATCTTTTGGGATCCTCTAACAACTCAAAGGGTGATTCCCATGCCAGGTCCTAAAGACAAAAGATACATGTTCTCTCTTATTTACAGATCCTGGCTCAATATCTTTAAGGTTTATGCTTCTTTTTAGTTTTTGTCTGTTATTTATCCTATTTTGCTTTAATAATGATCTGGTTATATATTGAAAGCTCATCTCAAACTTGAAACATGTCTGCCTTCTCTGCTAACAAACAGAATGTTAGGATTGCAGGCAAGTGCCACCATGACCAGTGATATATCATTGTGCAACCTACTTTTTCACTCAATATTAGGTTTTCCATACCAATTTCTGTTGATAAATATAAATATAAATTCTTTGTAATTTTAACCACTGTAGAATTATTATGACCATATTTGCCATATATTATTGACCCATGGTACCTAAGTCTCATATCTGCATCATTTCATGGTGAAGTAGAGAGCAAAGATACATATCCTTCAATCAAACAAGACAAAGTTTCCATTGACTACTCTCAAAAAAATCTAATATCTCTGTAACCTTTCTTTATTTCTATTCAAACCCAGGTATCTGGGAATCTGAAATCTAGTCTGTTTAGTCAGTCAACAATAAATATATTCTGTTTACCAATGCTAATCAGGCACATAAACTTGAATACTGTCATTTCTATCCGTAGGACACACATCTAAACTAGACTATGCAAGTTGTCATAGAAAAGTCCATCTGAACCCTAAGGTATGCCTAATAATCATTTTATATTTTGACCCAGGCTCAACAGTGTTATAATGAGCAAACAAGCCCAACAAAGAAGGTTTAAACATTACATAACTCAGGGTTTAAACTAAACTATACCCAAGACACTCCCTTAATGCCACTCTAATGGCATTTCTAAAATAAGCCACTGCTAATGATGTTTGTGGGTATCAAGAGGGAGTAAGCAAAAGACCTTGACTACTGCTTTGGCAAAGATTTCAACAGAGACCATTACCAATCCTCTGGATACTTGCAAGGCCAAAGCATTGGCAGATCCTGTAGGCTGGGAAAGTCTATTTAGACATTTCCCTAGAATCAAGGAAGAAAGAGTCACAACTGAGGTTCTGTGAGCCACTGATAGGATGAGAGCATGTAGCAAAGAGGTGAAGGTTTAAGAAATCCTAATGTTGTTGGTGAGGCACCCAGGGCATAAGGTTTTATAAAGGGGAGCCTAGTTAGGAATGAAAGGAATTCTCTGCCCACACTGTTCATGGACTCTGAGGAACAAAAAACTTGCCCAAATCGGTATAAAAATTATCCAACAAAGTTTATTTTATTTACTTATTCATTCTAGAGTTGTATATACTACTGCTTTCTGATGTGCATAACATACTTTGCTCTTATTTTTATTTAGATTGAAGAAAAATAAGAAAATCAAAAAATTTAAGAGGAATTAAGTTCTAGAACTATCAAAATTTCCCAACTGACATAGCTCAAGGGAGTTAATTCTGATTTTACTGGCAATGGGAATAAAATAAACAAAAAGTCCAAACTTGAATATTGTCTAGATAGATAACAATTTTAGTGTCAGCTTATGGAATCCGCTGAAGGGTGCATTGCATATGCCCCATGGGAAGAAATAATGACCATGATTGCATTCAGTCTCAAAACAAAGGAGCCTATAATCAACTAGACGCAGGTCAGTGTCTTATTTTTTCAAAATTTTAAGCAAATTGACTAGAATTTTCCAATTTATTTTTACCAAATTTTTAAAAATATATTTGACTTGAAATGTAATATCTTTCTATGAAAATGAATGAATGACATTCAGTAACATTGAGGTTTAAATAGAAAATACTCTAATTTTTCAAAATCAGATGCTGCTGAGAATGATTGAAATAGCAGAAAATGTTGCATTTAGTGTATCTGTAAATACACTGATTCTTAATGATTCTATTGAGTTTTTCCTTTTCATAGTTTCCACAATGCTATATGAAGTTATGAATTGTGTATTAAGTCTACTGGAATGATCAACCACATAGGCACCATTGGCAGGAGCCATGGCTAGAAAGAAAACAAGCAAGGAATAAACTGTCCTGAAAACCAAATGCATTTTTCCTCACCTTTACTGGTGTTAAGAAGTCATGATGCCGACTTCAGTAACCAGAATATTATTTTGAAAAGAAGGCTACTGAGGGAATTATATGGTGTGTTTTTTGCAGGTATTGGAGAAAGAAGGAGAAAAAAAATTAGAAAGAATAAAATAACTTCAGCTCATTTAATTAATTCATTCATTTTTATTTCATGCATATGAGTATTTTGCCTTCATATATGTAAGTGCACCAGTGTCATGCAAAGCCCACAGAAGTCAAAATATGGCATTGGATTCCCTGCAATTGAAGTTTGGGACAGTTGGAACTGAAGTTTAGGATAGCTGTTAGTTGCAATGTGGGTGCTGGAAATCGAACCGGGTCCTGTGGAAGAGCTACCAGTGATCTTAACTGCTGTGCCATCTAGTCAAGCTCATTTGAAGCAACTCTAACTTACCCGTGAAAATTAAAATCTAGTTCACTAAAAAGAAAAGAATGGAGTTTTATTTTCTCAGTATTTCTACCACTTGTCAATAAAAGCTACAAATTCATCATATTTTGATTGGACTTATGCCTAGAATGAAATGTGTAATGTCTTAGCAAACCCCATCAGTTATGTCTTGTAAATAAGAAATTCGGGATAACCTTCTGTCCCATTTTATTTCATTTGTAGAGAGGAGAAAGTTACCTAATTGCAAGCATATTCATAATTGTGATAAAAATTCTACTTCAAGGAATAGTTACTTCTGAGCTATTGCAAACCTTTAGAGAACTTTGTAACACATGTTCACATCTGAAGACATGGAGAAAAGGGTCATGAAAGAAGTGGCTGCGGGGAGCCAGGCACGAAACCTGCATGTGCAGAATGAATTATGCACACTGAAGGAAATGAAATGTGGACAGTTCCTTGGCACACAGAACAAAGATAATTCCATCTGTAACTCTGTTTGTATATGTAGGCTCAGGTGAAATTTATATGATAGAGAGGAATCAGAGTTCACAGAACAAAAGTGATTTAGATCTAGCAAGAACTTTCTCTTTTGGGTGCAAAACATTGTCATCATTTGTAGAATATTATGATTTTATTGAAAATATCCATGTAAATAAGAAAAACATAACTTTAAAATAATTGATGTTGATGATATTTGCCCCATGAAAACACAATGAAAGAGGATCATGTTTGAGATCATTGCAAGAACTAAGAAAATTTAGAAGCCAAGCGAGGGCCAGCAATCATAATAACACTTCGTTGTACTTTGGAGGTCATTAAATCTATTCTACTAATAGAAATCAAGAGTAATCTCACTTAGTTTTCTTCTTCTTTACAACTTCAGGCAACATGATACTATCTACAGAGATGAGCAAAAGTGCAGCTAAATCTATTTTAGGTAACAAAACTAAGTTGATGAAGTATTTTAGTACCAAATTTAAAATACCATAACTCAGACCTCCTTTGCTGTTTCCATATGTAACCATAGAACCACAACCTGAACTAAAATAGACAGAAGAAAGGATGAACAATGTCACAGAATTCATCCTTCTGGGCTTGACCCAAGACCCAGAACTGAAGAAACTCTTATCTGTTGTGTTTTTCATAATCTATTTGGTCACACTGATAGGCAACATGTTCATCTCCATCACCATCTTCATCAGCCGAGCCCTGGATGCCCCCATATACTTTTTTCTCTCCTATTTGTCCATCATAGATGCTTTCTACTCTTCTACCACAGCACCCAAAATGGTCTTTGACTTAATCTCTGAGAGGAACACCATTTCCTTCAATGGCTGCATGACTCAACTTTTTGCTGAACATGTTTTTGCTGGAGCTGAAATCATCTTGCTGATTGCCATGGCCTATGACCGCTATGTGGCCATCTGCAAGCCCTTGCACTACATGACCATCATGAGTCGACCTGTGTGTGTTTTCCTGGTGGTGGGAGCTGGAATGGTGGGGTTGATTCATGGCCTGATCCAGACTTTATTTATAGCCCACTTACCATTCTGTGGCCCCAATATTATTGACCACTTTATCTGTGATTTAATACCACTCCTGAACTTGGCCTGCACTGATACCCACATTCTGGGGCCCCTGATTGCTGCCAACAGTGGGTTAATGTGTTTACTCACTTTCTCGGTGCTGGTTGCTTCCTATGTCATCATTCTGTACTCCCTGAGGAATCACAGTTCTGAAGGGCGTCGCAAAGCCCTGTCTACCTGTACCTCTCATGTTACTGTTGTCATCTTATTCTTTGTACCTTGCTCATACATGTATGCAAGACCTGTGACCTCTTTCCCCATTGATAAAATTGTGGGTGTGTTTTGTACCCTAGTAACACCTCTGTTGAATCCTTTAATCTACACCCTCAGAAATGAAGAAGTCAAAAAGGTTATGAAGAAACTCTTGGGACAAATAATGAAAGCTAGTGAAAAATAATTCTCATGATATATATTTAGTCAATAATGTTCAGTGATATTTCATATGGATTTGTTCTCTTCTATAAATGATTTAGTGTAAGACAATTATCTTCTGCATCAAATATTAATTGAAACCTGATAGTTTTATTTATTAATGTTGTGAATACAGTGTGATAACATATGTAGACAACATGTATGATAAAACCAGAATAATATGAATTTCTATTTCCATGAATAATAATTTATCATTTATTTGTTTTGAGACTTACTGAACTCTCTTCTAGTTCTTACATTGCCTAAAACACATTATCATGAACCATGGTCGCTGTGCTCCTCTTAGAACTTACTCCTCCAATCTAACTGTATTTGGGAATGTGTTATCCAACCTCTTCTTATTCCATCTCCTTCTCAGTCTTCCTAACCTCTAGTGTACATTACTGAACTCTGAACTTCTGTATGATCAATCAAATGCAAATTCTGGTGAGGTTGTGGGGAAAGAACATTTCCTCACTGTTGGTGGGATTGTAAACTGGTACAGCCACTAAGGAAATCAGTGTCATTTTAGAAAAACAAACTAGAAATAAAAAAGCCAGGTGGCTGAGAAATCCCAGTCCTGTGCCTTTATCCAAAGGACTCTATCCCTATGGCTGATATAATTGTGCATCATGTTCATTGCTACTCTAATCATAGCAGCTAGGAAAAAAGAATTAGACTAAATGTTAGTTAACTGATGAATTATATATATACATACATATATATATGTATGTGTGTATATATATATATACTCTTTACATATATATGTGTAAAAGAGTAAAAGATACAGAATTTGCAGGAAAATGGATGGGTCTGGAAAATATATTGAGTGAGGGAACCAAAACTCAGGAAGATATTGTGCACTCTCTTTCACATGTGGATCCTAGATTTGATTTTTAAAATTCCTGTGTTTAAAGTACATGTAAAGTCCAGGAAGCAAAAAACATGCACTGTAAGCCTGGTTTAGCACATATGACTGGGAAAGTCACAGGCCACAGAAGCAAATCTTACTACTGATGTTTGGCTTAATGGCTATGTAGTCGAACTTCCATCTAAATACTCATGTTTATACTCATAGACTAATGCTGCCTCAGTATGACTCATAGAAGCTTTTGTTTGTACAGGGTGATGGTTAAAGTAGAGATCCTTAACTAATCAAAGTGTTTGAGAATAATTAAGGAGTGCTCAGTCCTGTATAGCACACCTATATCACCCATCTAAGACCTAGGAACCATCATGGAGAGGATCCTAGCAGACAGCCTGAGAGGGTGAGTTTGGACCTCCATCAGGTAGCTGCTCAGAGCTCAGCAGACCACCAGAAAGTGCAGAGTTCTGGCCTCCCTCTGGCCTCCAACTACAAGGGGGCCTGAGAACCTAGAGGACTACCTGACAGCCCCCAGATCCTGCCTCCACGTGGTGGTGAGCTTCCCCTAATTGTGCCATACCCTCCCCCCTTGCCTGGGATTTTATGAGGCCTTCCCAAGACCCCAGGGAAGATCTGGCTTTGGTAGGCTAAGGCTGAGATCCCAGCAGACAGCCTGAGAGGGTGTGTTCAGACCTCCATGGTGTAGCGACTTGGAGCTCAGCAGACCTCCAGAGAGTGCTGGGTCCTGGCCTCTCTCTGGCCTTCAACTACCAGAGGGCCTGAGAATCCAGGGGACAGCCTGACAGCCCCCAAGATCCTGCCTCCACATGGTGGTGAGCTTCCCCTATTTGTGCCATACCATCCCCCTATCTGGGATTTTGTGAGGCCCCTCCCAAGGCCCCGGGGCAGATCTGGCTTTGGTAGGCTAAGGCTGGAATCTCAGCAGACCACCAGAGAGTTCTGGTCCCCCTCTGGCCTCCCTCTGGCATAGGGTTAACAACACACAAGACTGCCTGAGAGAGCCTGGATCCTGCCTCCATGTGTTGAAGGAAGCCTGAGTGTACCTGACTGGACTTGAATTGGGCTTCTGTGGGTACCCCTATGTGTCCCAGAGACCTGATTCCTCCTAAGGGTGGGGCCTGCCATGGAGAATGGACTGCAGGAGGGGCTTTGGGAGACATCTTGGGATGGAAGTTGGGAGCTGCCAGGAACACGGGTGGTGGGCATGGAGAAAAAGATGGCCCTGACATCTCACCCAGTAGAAGGGGCATTTACCAACCTGAAACGAGGCTGTTGGCTCAAGATGCGTGGGTGAAAGTTAATGGAGACTGTGGCCTGGCATGGAAGCCATCTGGAATGGAGGGTGCTGGGTGATGGGTGTTAGTCTCTGTAAGTTTCACCTCCCCCCCACAAGATATACATAAAAATATATGGTTTGTCTGATAGCTCAAGAGACCCCGAGAGAATTCTGGTGACAAAATTGGCATAGCCAGCAGGGTGGCGTTAAAAATGACAAAAAAAAATACAGAAGTTTGGAAAAAGCTATAAAGCAGATGGCAGTGCTGATGTGGTTTTTACAATGGATCAGAAAATCTGTAACTAAAAAGAGGCCAGCCACACAGAAGCATGAGTCACAGCTATGTTGTAAATCTGGGGTATGTTGAGGGTATGTGAAGATTTGCTAAAAGTTATCCAGAGGCTAGAAAATCTTTTATCCCCAAATGGAGTGCCCAGAGAGGAGGCATGGCCACTTTGCTTAACAGAAAATGTGCCCCAGGCAGGGGAAGCTGAAAAGGCTAGGGAAGTCCTCACAGATCCAGTTGCAGAGTTTGAGCAGAAAAAAAAAAAAAAAGCGAGACACTTCAACTTGTGTAAGGTCCAAGGACTCAGAGGAAAAGACAGATAATAGTGAAAAAGAAAATGACCTAAAAATAAAAGTAGCTAAGACTGCCCATCAGATTCAACCATTGACACAAAAGGAAAGAAAAGCTAGCAGTGCTGTAGCTAGGAAATACTCCATGCTGGAACTGTTAAAACTAGGAAAAAACTTAGAAGCAAGCAACCAGAGAGCCCCTGGCCACATGGCTTGTGAGATTATGGGCCATGGGAAAAAAATGATGTCAGTCTAAGTCCTTCAGAAGCTTCACAGCTGAGTTTATAATCACCCACCCATCCTTGCAATATAGGCTGTTCAACCTAGGCCAATACAGGGGAGAGCAGTCCTTAATGTATGGCTGGTTGATGAATTAAAGATACATGGTCATCACCAAGGGAGACTAACATGATTAGCAGGGGCTGGAGGACTATAAAGGAGGGGCAGGCATTCCTGAGAGAACTAGGTATGAGAAAAGCAATATACAATGTCCAGTTCAATGGGCCAGATAAGACTGTGTTCACCAATGATATGAAGGAAAGTTTAATTCAACTGGGACCTCAAGAATAATATGGGGCTTTAATGGTTTTAATAAACCCTTTGATGGGACAGGATCTTTGTAAAGTGAGAGAGGCTTTGGCAAATCTAAATGATTCTGACCAGCATGTAAAACGTTATCTGTAAAATAACAAAGCACCCTATAAGAGATATAAAAAAGACCAGACAGAAGAAATGGTCCACTTGGGTTACTTGAAGACTAATGTGGCAAGACTTATGTCAAGCCCAAATCCCCAGAGAAAAAAATGATAGAAAGCTGAATTTGGTACTAAGGCATTTCTGGAAGGTATTAAAACCAGAACAGTTTACAAAAGACATTCAAAGGATAAAAACTGTACACAGGGTGGTTAAGAATCCCCAAGGATTAAATAAGATTCATTTCTCTTCTGATAAAGGCTATACTAGGGATGCAAGCAGTTTTTCCCACAAAGTTCTCCCGCAGCAGCCAGGTGTGGTCAATGGAGAAATAATAGATATGGCTACAGTCAGACCCAGGGCCTGCCTGACTCAGGGAACCAACAAGTACAGCAGGGACAGGAGAAACCCCCTGCTTCCTTAGCCCAGTGCAGGGTCAGGCAACTGGAGCCAACACCTATAAGTGTATCAAGAATATAAGAATACAAAGAAACTCCATGTAAAATACCCCAAGTGCAAAATGATTCAAAGGGATAACTAAAAATGGTAGATAGCTAACCAAATTAATACCTAACAAGGATCTATGGGGAAAACAGTTAATATGAATGAACAAGACATTTTCATGCTATGTGAAACCTTGTCTATGACTGGTTTAATATATAATGTTAACCTTCCTTTGACTGTTTTATAGATATAAAACCCATTTGAAGGAAACCTGAAGAAGGAAAGGCCAACTATAGTTGTAATCTTCTTGGGAGTTTTATGGTTGGATAAGATGAAAACAGAGACTCCTAAACTATACAACTGTTAAGAAAATCTACAGTACCAGGGGTGGGTGCCCGGTGCCCCCCCCCATGAGCTATTGGTCAGAGAGATCCTAGAGGTCCTTAAATTCACTAAGGCTATTGCCATTAATGTCAGTTGTACACTAAAAAGGTCAGTACGGCCATGTTGCTGAAGACCTGCATGTTGTGAGCATGGGAAAAGAAGAAGTTACTTAACAATGAATCCCAGGTGCTACACACTACTGGGCATGCCAAGCAATGCCTGCAAGTACAATAATGGCTGGGCCAACATATGTACAACTGACAAATTTTTAATTGACTAAGGCCCACTCCTAAGGGTGGAACACACATCTGGTGCTGTAGACCAGGTTAACTCTTGTGCTGAGAAAGGCTACATGCCCTAATGGGTAAGCCATCACAAGTATACTGTTTAATGAATATAGTACACCTATTGGGATATCTTCTAGGCATTTGTATTTACATTCATGTTTGTTGAAATGTGTCTACTTCCTTCCATTTGTCTTTATAGTAGAAAAAACACCACTGCGATAGATCAATGGCCACAGAATAAAGACAAATAATGGGGCAGCCCAAGAAGTCACTGTCTCACCATGATACAAGAGAGATTGCCCTACATCTGTCACCCCCTTAAAGGCTCAGGGACCTTAGCAGAAGATAGGCAGAAAAATTATAATAGCAGAGGAAAAGGGTGGAGAGTGTGTCCCAGAAACCTGAGTCCTCCAAGGGGCGGGGGGCTGCCACAGAGAATT